TACGGGAATTCTATACTTGCTGTCCCACTACTTCTTACTAAAAGAACCACTATGGTGGAAAGAAGAAGAATTAAAACCTGAAATAAAAAAACAGAGAATTATTTTACTGTCTTAAACTCTCATAATTGCTTTTAAGTTAAAATAGTTTTAATAATAACTTCCATGATAACAATCTTGTAACTCTGGAAAAGTGGTAGGATTATTGATTAATAAAAGCTTTAGTATAATGTTAAGAATTCATTGCAAATAGCAAATATAATGGTAATTCCTTCCATTTTAATAATTTCAGGGTGCAGTGGCAACATTTAAACATTTTTTTAATCTATTTTATTTTTTTTATGAAATTATGCTGAAATGATAAACTAAAGGAGAAAATTTTAGAAATATTTTTGAAGGTTTAAAACAAATTTCTGCATATAAGAATAGTAATATAGATGTACAATAAATATTGGAAAGCTAAAAATTTATGAAAAATTAATATATAACATATAAGGTCATAGAAGGAGATGGTCAGTGATATTGAACTAATGTTTTTTAATTGCTGGAGTTAATAATATCTTATTTTATGTTAGAAATTAGATGAAGTTTTCTAAGAGTATATGTGAAAAATGTGATAAACCAAAAAAAAAAAAAGGTTGATAAACCAAAAAAATATAAATCATAGATTTTTTATAATTTTTTATTGATTGTCTTACTTGCATATTTATAATTAAAATAACATTCTTAATGTTTATTAACATTTTAAAAATTAATTTCTAGTGAAAATAGTATGCTGTATGGTTGTTGTCTGATTTACTACACCAGATTTTCATGCTAATCAAATTATAATATAGCAATACATAAACAATGTAAGTAATTATATATATTTGTTAAAATATGATAAAGTTAGTAAATGATAAAATTTAGCTAATTTTTCATAAATACGTTATGGTATAATAAATGGACAGTGATTTAATATAATTTATTATATACTACTGTTAATTACAGTTAAAAAAATTACAGATACTTAAAAAGTATAGTATGTCGCTATATAAAAAATGATGAGTGTTTGCCAATTGAAAAGTAGTTTGCATGACATTAAAAGTATAACAAAAAAAAAACTGTTATGTAAGGTATATAGATTTTCACTCTATATTCACCGAAATTTTTCATCAGTCAGAAAAAACTAATTCACAAGAAGAAATATAAGAATACTAGTGACGTTAAACAAATTATATGAAAAGAAGGCCCTTACTTTTCTAAATAGTCATAAATACTTATATATATGTTACCCTTCCACAATAAGTAGATTAAAAATCTTTGGAAAATATTAAATGTTTAGAAATATGAAGCCAAACTTCTTACAATAATTTGGTTGTACTTTACTGATGCTGAAAATATCATTGAATTTGTTAAATAATTTACAGTAAGGTTTAATATTTTTTATGTTCTAATAAAGTAAAATGTGACTAGTAATGATATGTTTTCATATCTATTCTTAATACTAATAATTTTGCTGGTTTTGCACAATTAATGTGTTTATCATAAAATCTCTCACCCAAATCATGGTCTGAAGCTGTTCTCTATCAATTACTTAAAGATCTACTGTGGTCCCCGCCAAGGATCTTAATATAGCTCAATGATCAGTACAAAATTCTGGCCATCAATTAAAAAATCAATACAAGAGCATAGGTCTTTGTGTCAATAAACTGCCTTGATCAAATATTGCACAATAACGTTATGTCTTTTAAAACATAAAAGTCTTCTTACGATTATGTATTGTATTAAAATAATTAATAGAATATGCACTTTAAAATTATATCAAAAATGCATTTTATAACAATAGTCAATGGCTCATTAAATAAATATAATTTAGTGTGAATATGGAATTCTTAGAATACATACAACTTGTAGAAACTGTTCTTTATGATTTGATCATAAGCACTTTTATTCATGGGTTCGGAATTGAGCGATTAAATTAGGTAAGGTTCTAAGTGAAGTAATAACTATCGCAAAATGAATACAGAAATTCATCACAATGTATTATTAAAGATAATTACAATTAATCTACTTAAATAAGTCATAAACATGACAACTGTTCCATCATTACAAAAGTATATAGCACTTTCTGTTCAGTTCTAAAGAAGGTACTGCTTAAATCATTCCTTAGTGAAATATATAAAATACTCCTAGTTTATATCTGATTACAAAAACTCCTCAATCAAAGTCATTTGGGTACTTTTCAATTATAAGAAGGAATATTTTATCATAAAAAATTTCTTAGATATGGCAATTCACTATAGGGTTATAAAAGACGTGAAGTGTTTTTTTAGTCCTAGGAATATCTATTAAAGTATATTATAGTTATGTGAGCCAGGTATTTTTAAAGTACTATACTTTAACGCATATTAATTATAATTTATTTTGCCATAGAAGATATTTGTGTAAATCGTATTAGTGCTTCATCATTTTAGATAATACATTTCTGAAAATTAAATATTTTTTGTTAATGAAAAGTGTATTTTAATTTTTATTGTATTAAATGTATTTTTAATTTATTGTAATTAATCCCAGGTCTCAAGAAAATAAGATATTAAAGATTTGTAATAATTTAGTGACATTATTCTTGCTAAAAACACAGGCAACTGAATATGAAATCAACTAATTTGTTAACACAGAGGTGAACATCAACTTACTCGTTAAAAGAAACTCAACTTAATTAACATGCACTTAAAGTTGATCAAATAAGTTTTAAGTAAGTTTTTACAAGAGTGGGGGTAGGTATAAGTAATCCATTTGTTGCCTGATAAAAAAATCGTGAATAATCTATGATTTTATGAAAATCTAACTTAGCACAGTTTAGCCACTTAATTCAATGTTTAAAATTATGTCTTTTTCTATGTTTTTGGAACCTTGGTTTTTAAAAATAATAACCATTTTGAGATTACGCCATTGCTTAATAAATATCTTTTAATGTTTACATTGTTTTTAAATTATGGCATTAATTATTAATTATGGCACTAATTATTAATTATGAGGATTTGGAAACTGTTCTTGACGAAATTTTATTGTTGATCCCTTTCTAAAATCTCTTTAAAAGAGAACAACTCAAAACAATGGGTAAATCCATTATTTTTATAAATCATTTTTAAATGTTATTATTTAAAAAAAATGTGTTTAACTGGCAAAATTGGATTTTGTGTAAAATCTTAAAGCCAGAAAAAAACTGTTTTAAAACAACAGTAAAAGATCATTATAATAGATTAATTCAGGTCGGAATTCACATTTCGAATTTTAGATAAAGGGCAATTTTAAAATTTTTTCGAAAAATCGAAGTATGAATTTAGAGAACCCAAACTTCATACCGTTGTTTTCATAGTAAAGAAGAAACTATTGCTAGCTATCAAAACAAATTTTCGTTTAAAAAAATGTATTACTAAAGTAGATAAAAAGTTAATGAGTTAATTTAATTTTTTTGGGTTAACAAATTATTTTTAATGTCTTCTGGAACCTCAAGATATAAGTAGAAAAACAAGAAGTTTTGAGTTGTTTTATTGACATTAAAAGGCTTTAAATGAGTGCTATTAGAAAGTTATTTGTCGAAAAAAGTATTTTATATCTTCTCTGCTGACTCTCAGTTGATAGACATATTAAAGGGTGTTAAATTGACAAACAAACTTGTTCAAAAATTTTTACTTTTCAAATAAAACGAACTAACAGGAAATGATTTATTTTTCCTTAGTTTTAAATTGAATAAAATAATTATTAAATTTATCTCCAAGCGTTTTAATTTCAATTAGAACAAATCATTCATTAACCTAAGTATTTTCAATAATATTAATATTGATAAAATCGTAAGACCGGAAAAATCTAAAGTAAAAGCGAATATAAAGTTTGTTTGTTCTTGATAAATAATTTACCCATTTTCCTTCATTGGTCGATGTAAATTTTTCAAATATTATACATAATATAATATAATAATATATCACAAAATATTAAACATCAAATCTGGCACATAATTGTAGTATGAGAACAATATTACACCAATTTGTACCGACCTATGCAGCAAAATAGTATTAATTCGGCTTTCTAACTGAAGTTTTGAAAAATCCTGAAGAGTTACGAATGGTTTAGTGAATGGTCGGAAAACAAATTATCCAACAAATTCGATTTCAAAAGTTCATATTTTTTTTAATTCAATAAAAATTCGTTTTAAAAGGTTTTAAATTATGTTAGAAAGGAATATGACTTACTAAATCATAAAAAATTTTACTTGGTACTAAATTTTACTTCTTTTATAAAAAAGAAAAATCGATTGGTACATAATTACACAGAAATCCGTACAGAGTAAAGTCAGAAAAAAAATGTTGAAATTATATAAAATATTTTTTTACAGTTTCTTAGGAGTTTGAGGACATCAAAATATTATAATATTAAATTTGTTAATTAGAATAATATTTCACAACCTTTAATGCTTTAGAAATAAGTTTATTATTTCCCAAGCTAACATATTTACATTATAGTGTAAACATAAGCTAGTATACAGCGAGTAAGAAAGAGAGGAGTAAGACAAAGCACTTCAAGAGGGATAAGAGTAGGACAGTTTTGAGTCGAGTGCTACACTTATGAGGTCGTCAGTCGAACAGTATGTAATGACCCTGCTATTCAGATTTTTATCAGGAAAAGTCAACGATACTTGATCAGCACCAGAAAAGTCTTGAATCATCGATCAAGAATGCTTACGATGATCTACCATGACTCGCCAGTCCAAAAGGAGCAAATTCCTTATTCCGTTGATGGATTTACGATGCTCATCACTGAGAGCGCTGGGTTAAGGAACTTGCTCTCTGTTACATCAATGAGTTTAGGACCATTATCATGGATTTTTGATACTTATCAATAATCTCAGCGCTGAGTTTAGGAACTTAACCACCAATAAATTAATGAATATTTTTTATCATTCACCAAACACCTCGTACCTCAGATACACATTTTATTATATATGTCTCCCTCTCTTCTTTTTTTTTTTTTTTTTAACAGTGTTAAGTAAGCCAGTTGCCTAAGTTGTTTCTTTCCTTATATACTTGTAAATTAAAACTGTCATTTTTCTTTTCTTTTTTAAATAAGTTTAAGTAACAGAGTAATAAAAGTTATTATTTTTTTGTTCTATGGTAAATCATTCTATTTTCTTTATAAATAATGTTTTGAATACTTTTACCTTCTTTAAAGTGTATTCATATACTTATAATTTTTTTTAGTATAATAATTACATTTGTTTCAGTATTATTTAAGTTTTTATATTTATTTGTATGCCTAAGTGATAGATTTATTTTGTACTATACAACGTCTGTAATATTAATATACCCAGTTAAAAAAAGAACCGGCACACATACAGATCAGAAGATTTCCAAAAATAAGTAGAGCTTCATTGGGGCTCAATGGTAAGAACCCCTGTACAGGAATAAACTATAAATATATATATTTTAATTTGGACGTGCTCCATATCCATAATCTCTCATTTTAACAATTTTTCACGGTTTTTATTTTCATATATATATATATATATATATATATATATATATATATATAGTTGGAGAGATTTGAGTCACTAAATGGTGAAACCTTGACACTCTGGCGCCACACCTTATGGTAACATGGAAGTAAAAATAATGATATATATATTATGACTATTTTTTTGAAATTATGGTAATAATATGGAAAACAAAATAATGTCATTAGTACAGTCATTTTTGTATTTGTTCTTCAGCCAAGAGAAACTACATAATTAGGTTTTCTAAAAAATAAAATCCTCAAAACTATTTTTTCTTATTTGAAGGTTATTTTTTTTTTTTTTTTTTTGATAATATTATAATGCAGAAAAATTGTAATTGAGTCATAAAACAATGTCAGTTAGAAATTTCATGACACAATTCCTGCTAAAATACCACTAACAAATTAGTTTTTCAGGAATTTATGACAATGAATCCATAAACATAATTTGACTCAAATATCTCATTATACTTGATAAAATGTGTCTTTTGGTTTATCCTTAATATGAAAGAACAATTTAGATTATCTGTTACATAATATAATGACAGTATGTGTTATAAGTGTTCAGGATTTTGAATTAATTTTTCGGACAAAGTATAGTTAAATTAAAAAGATTTTTTTTTCTTCTAGAAATTGAGGGTTTATTTATACTAATCTTTATCTTTTTAGAGATAGGATCTCTTAAATGGATCCAAAAGTATTTGAAAACTCCTGCCATAAAGACATAGCAGTAAAAATATTAGTTAAAGAAAAATGATAAAGGAAAATAGATAAAAAAATTAGAAAATATGTTTTTTATTTAAATAGTTATGGAGAATGATTGAAATATATAGCCTGTTCTAAGCCTGTTCTTCATCCAACAAGACTGTGCTTTGTTGACATATTTAATCGCCTGCTTTTGGTCAAAGAATATTCACTGCAATCTAAAAATGAACATTAATAAGCACATATAGTTTAATATTATATTTTATATTTACTATTAAATAAAAATAATTTTCTAAAAGTTGATGGCTATAAAAATTATTTTAAAATAAATAATTAATCCTTTTCATTTCATTTCTTTAGTGTTACTACTAAGGTGAAATGGGCTTGGTTCAATAGTTTTGAGTCTCTCAGTCTTATCCAATGTGCCGCGCGCTCTGTGGCAAATTCTGTATCTCAAATCTTGTATGCTTCGTGTTTGAAAATTACTACTATGTTACTGTTCTTATACAACAGAAAAATTACCTACTGCTTCTTAGAAAGGTTGCGAGATAGTTCGAAAGTAGAATTTGTCATAGACCATCCCATCATTTAATGAGAAAGAGCTCGTCAGGCTCCTGACTCATATATGAGTCTACCATCACCGGGGTCCAGTTCCTTCTCTGCTTATATATGAGTACGCTGTTGTTAAAAGGTTACAACTTCAATAATACAATTCAACTTCAACATTATACATTTTCAATTGAAAGTCTGATACAATTTTTTTTTTTTCTGCAGGCATTACAGCTCTTGTAGACCTTTCGCAGCCTTAACAAGTCTGGTATATCGATCTCTGCCTGTCTTGTGCTACTTCTTTCCAGTTATTTGCAAACAGCTATATTGCAATAATCTTTATTGATTCTATTTCATATTTGCTTTTTGGTCTTCCACATGGTCTTTTACCTTCTATTGAGGCACTCATTGTTACGTAGAGACTTCCAAATTGATTGTTACAAGCTACATGGCCTGCCCATCTTAAGCTCCATGCCTTCATATCATGGGATATTGATTGACTAGTTTCTGTAAGCAGTACTTTATTGGTGTTTCTTCTCCATGTGTTAGTACTCTAATCCCAAGTTGCTACGGTCATCGTAAGGAAGATTTTTCTCTCAAATCTTTCACATTTTTTATCAAATCCGATATAATATATTTACTAAAATTTATATTATTTTTATTTTAAAAAAATCACATTTTTAAACAATCTCTGATGTGAAAGGAGCACTGAAAACTGATAATTTAAGGTGAATTAGTAAGTCACATAAAATTTGAGAGTCAATGTTATATTAAAATAATTTATTACCTTCTGCCTTGTATAATTGCTTTCAAGACTTCTTCTTACAGTACAACAACATAGCAAATCAATGTTCATAGGACTACTTAAATGAGAAACAAAATCATTAAGCTAAGAAATGTTTGATACCATTTAATTGCTTTGTTTAAGTGCTTTTTAACTTTAAACTTTCCAGAGTATACTAAAGGAAGAGATTACTATCCCACCTATAACTTACTTAATAAAACAAATAGGAGATTAAATATTTTTGATTTCAACTTATCTACTTACTGACTACAGTTTCATTGAGGATTTTTAACTCATTAAGTTCTGTAGTATTGAATATCCTTCCCATAGCAAAGCTACTGTAAGTGGTATTGAAGACAACGAAAGCATCACTAATGGGTCCGGTATTTTCTTTGAAAACTGCTGCAACATCATCTGTATAATCTCTCCTGGTGCATGTTATGTCTGAATTTTAAAAAAATAAATAAATCAAAATAAGAGAACTATAAAATAGTAAGGATAAATAAATATTTAAAAAATTGATGTAAGTACTATAGACTATTTAACTTTTCTAGTTTAAAAACTAGTTATTCAATATATCCAGCAATCAGTTTATGTTATGTAAGAAAAAAATCGTAATTCATATAACAAACCTTAAGAAAAAATTAGGAAACTGAAAGAATTATTTTTTTTTAAGATTCAAAACTTATTTATGATGATTACGATCTATAATAACCAGAATTATGAAAATATCTTGTAGAATGGAAAAATTGTTTTAGACATGGTAATTTATACATTTAGAATAGATTAACAACAAAAACACAAATTTATAGAGCTATTAACAATTGAGAGTGGGGTAGCTTCGTCTAATCTTTTTTGGTTTTGAATTTTGTTAGCTTGAGTATAAATAATCAAAATATTGTTACCATGATTCATATGATAATGATATTAAATAAAAAATTGCCCAATAGTAAGAGGCATTTGCCACAGAGAGTGAATTCCTGTTCACAATACTTAACTATAAAAATATTAATGAACAAAATATAAATGAAGCTATTTTACAAAATTATTCTCTTAGTTTGAACAGAAGCTCCAGCTAGACAAAAGGAGTAAAAACTATTATCCAATGATTAACTAAGGTAATTTTTTTAACTTGTGTAGAAAATGTTTCTGGCTACACCTCTCACAGGTCAATGCTCAATATGGTCATATTAAAAAAAAAATTTAAGATACTAAATTAAAATTATTTGGTTTGAAGAATAACTTCCCATTTCAGAGAAAAATTGCTTTGTGATGATATTTTTTTTTTTTAGTTAGAATAATAATAGAAACATAGTAAGAAAATAGAAACATTGTGCAGGATATATTACTTCAGATATTTTTATTTAAAGATAATTAATTTGTAAGAGTATATGTTAAAGTCTAATCTGAATGACTTCATTGTAAGGATATTTGGAGGATGTGAATAAGAAAATTGGAAGTATAATATTTACAAAACATACCATATAATATATTAATACTAATTGAAAATTTAGATAATAAACATTACTTGGCAGTGGACTTGGCACAGTGAAATCTGAGACATTCAGATTGGAATCATGATCATTAATTTCAGGCAAATAAAGCCCCTCATTTGCATAGGTGTCGATGATGTTCTGGTTAAATTCCATTAACACAGTTCCTCTTAAATAATCATATTCAGTTGAATTCATGGGAGAAGACATGTTTGATTCTGAAATATGAGTTGAGTTCATCCTGAAATATTATTTATTATGTTATAGTCTAATACTCAAATCAAGTATATTATTTACATAATCATAGTTTTAGAAAATTTGTATTTTTGCTAGTAGTGGTTTTTAATTTGATAAAAATTGTTTTATAAAATGACTAATTAATGTTCTTTTAAATAGGTTTGTTATTTCCATGGATATGAAATCCTCTTAAAATTCTTTGAAGAATTTTCCTCTCAAAGACTAGGAGTTCTTGTTCATTTTTTTATTTGTACTTATCTATATATGTAACATGGTGTATAGTAAGGGTAAGTATTGCGATCGTGAAAAATTCCAAATCTGAGTTTTCAACGGAAATACACGTTTTGAGATCCCCTGAGTCCAAATAATCTAGTCCCACAAGATGGTATGTGTGTGTGTATGTGAGATGTTACCTGAGATGTTACAGCAACTTTTTCCTAAAAATTGGCAAACCGGAAGTGGTACTTTATATTACCGATTTTTCAAAATGTCTTCCTCTAAAGTACCTTTATATTTTTTATTTGAAATAATTAACGATTTCAGGATTTTTCCAAAAGATTCATTCTCCTCACTATCATTAGTATTGATTGGTTCACTATACACAGTCATAAAAAGAAATGGAAAGTGAGGCAAATGTATAAATTAAACTTATTCAATGGTCGGGTAAAACATTTTAATTAATTCTTCCAAATAAAGTTACACTGTTGTTTTCACTTTGACTTTCTATAAGAAAATACCTATCTACTCCAAGGTTGGTAAGTGAAAGTTGTGTGAAGCGCACACAGCACTAGATTTTTTATTTGTTGCCTATGTTTCCTAATACATTCAACAAGACTGGGAACATTAATGTCTAATAAAGTAAATACAAGTGCAAACAGACTATTTGTTGAATAGAAATTGTTTGAAGTAATTTAATAAAAAAAACTGCCTTTCTTGTTTTAACTTGAATTCTCACTGTTTCTTCAAACCTTCAGTAACACTTCCGGGTTTAAGGTGAATCGTATACCATCATGAATTCGACATCAATAATATCGATTTGACATTCATAAAATCATTTTGTCAAATTTCCTGCAAACATTAACTCAACTAGAATCTAAAAATTTTTCACTTAATAAACAAATCAAAATTATAGGAGAAATGTATAACATTGTAAATTTCAACTCGATTAAAAAATAAAGGTTTCCTATGTGATTGACTTATAATTATGTAAGTACATATGTTATTTTTAATTAAAACTAAATATCTGAAATCAATTGGTCTTATATATATCATATATACTTAACCTTCATACCTTTAATCTCTTTAAGTTCCTCTACATTACTTTATTCCATGTATGTGCCAGTAAATTAACCAATTTATGGGAAATTTAAACAAATATATTTAATTATTTGTCAGTTAATTATTGTGACCTTTTTGTATTTGTTTTGTGAATTATCTTTAAATTTTATAATATTTATATTATTCCTTATTTATTTTTTTTTTCAAGATTTAGATTAATTGTAATTTATTATTGTATTAGATTATGTATTGTTGTCATTCGTCGATTGTAATATGGATTTTAATTTTGAGTGTTGCATTTTAATTTTTTTTTTTGCCTGAATATTTTAATTCAGAAACTTAACATTAGATTTATAAGATTTCTATGTATTAATATTATAAATTAAACAAAATAGATGTTTTTTAGGTTTTAGTTTTTAGGTTAAACTAGACAACTTTACATGTTTTGGGTTTTTTCTGCACAATATTGCACAATTTGAATTTTTTGCAGCCCGTTTTTCGGATTTTTACAGCACGAAGATTCGTTCTCTAGCTGTCAGTATTCTTCTCTTCACTTAAACCTCAGGTGCATTATATTGAGTCCCCAGTGACTCCAAATATAAGAACTGGACCACTTTATCAAAGTAAAAGGAACCAATATTTATTGTCTCGCCAAGTTGGGGGCTTCATCTGTGGCCATGTAGTTAGTTTTGCCTTCATTCATCTGTAACCCAAGTGCTCTGGCAACCTCCATCAGAGCTGAAAATCCCTCTCTGATAAACTGCACGGCGTCCAGAACATCTGCATAGCCTAATGCCTAGACTATCTGATTGTAAACACTTCTGTTAGTTAGCAGATCAGAATCCCTTATTGTCTTCTGAAGTGCCAATTTTACCAGGAGGTATGCTAACACATTAACTCCACTAAGTCCTTTTCTTGAGAAGAAAAGAACTAAGTCCTGTTCTCATCAATCTGCACAGTACACTTCACCTCCCTCATGGTCACTTTTACCAATAATGAATAAATAACAAAATAATGGAAATTATTTTGTCTCGGTTTTCTCAAAACATTAAATAACTTTTTGGAAAATTAAAAAAACAAGGTTATTTCTATTTGATATTTAATTTTATCTGTTTGTTACATTAAAAAAACTAAAACAAATATAATTGTTATAATTATAAAAGTGATTGGCAGAATGACTTTAGGTGTCAAATTGTGATTAATAATAATAATAATACTTTATTTATTCTGGGACGAGTCCCTTTAGAATGATACAGAAAGATATGAATATGACCCATAAAATTCAAAATACCAGTCTGACAATTATCCTGGCCCTTCTTCTGTTTAACTAAAATAAATAACTTCGAAAAAGTAATCCTTATGTAAATAATTTCAAAGATTATAATTAGAAAGATTTTCTGGTTTTCTTATTGCACTTTGTAGTAGATTTTCTTCATGGTTAATGGAAAAAAAACTTTTTATTATAACTCTTCCAAAGTCATTCAGTTACTATATATTATACTTGTATTACATCAATTGTGGTTATCCAATTGCGACTACAAATCACATAAACAGACAAAGTCTTGGTTGCACTGATTGATTGATTGATCTTAATTGTTAGAAGTCAGTTCCAATTGTTCTCCAAAGCCATTTAATATTAGAAAATACTATGATGACCCTGTTATTACCTAAACAAATCCTCATTTTCGCGTTATGAGGTTGTCATTAGGAACAAGTTGTAAGGAACAAGCATTAATAATGAAATATGATCATCTTAATCATAAAAGATCAAAGAAACTAAATAAAATGGTGTGCCAATAAGTTTTGGAACTTGAGTACATTGGAGCTTTAATAAATAATTTAAAAAATTTGAGCATTAAAAGGGAAATTAAAAAAAAAAAATAGTGATTGAGTACTATCTTTATAAATACTGATATTATTTACTGAAAAATTTAAATTTATTTTATCATAGCAGAAAATAAATAACCAAGTATATTAATGACTACTAATACTTACGGTGATTCTATACTTGCTGTCCCACTACTTCTTACTAAAAGAACCACTATGGTGGAAAGAAGAATTAGAATCTGAAATAAAATAAAACTGAATTATTTTGGTCATTTTATTGTTTGTTTCAGATCTAAACCCGCTTGTAAGTTGGTATAGGTTTAATAATAACTTTCATCATGGAAACACACTTTTGGAAAAACGGAAGGACTACTAATGAATTAAAGCTTTCATATTAACAATTTACTGCAAATAGCAAATATGGTGATATTTAATTCTATTTGAATTATTGCTTGGTGCTGTGTCAACTTTTAAACATTTTTTTTAAAGGAATAATGCTGACATACTAAATAGAATATTAATGTATGTTGGAATGTAGATTAAAGGTAACAAACAGTGTAGTTATTAAGAGAAAAATTATTTAAAAAATTCTTTTAATCTATTTGTTATCTTATTTTTATTTTGAAGGCTATTATTTTAGTTTTGGTTGTTCTAAATGAACAACAAAAGTATTAATAAAAATGTATATATATATATATATATATAATTAGCTAAATTTTATTATTTACTTACGATATCTTACTTTTTAAAACAAAACAAAAACCTTTGTCCCTCTCCTTTTTGGGATTTGCCTTTTTGGGAAACTACAGAGCAGCCATTCGTTTTTCCCTGAACTAGTAGAACTAGATTAACTTGCCTTTTAATTGTTCAACATTAATTTATTAAACAGTTTTTACTCACTTCCAGTAAAGGTTTACATTACAATATGTATTATTATTTACATTTTTACTTTCACTTACCTCCATATGGAATATGTAGTTATGTTAAGTATTTCAATGCTTTACAAACCCAAAGGACAGAATTAAAACAAAATTAAATGTTGTGAATGTAACGAAAGATATTGTAAATAAAAATATAAATACTTTGGTATTGGTAGGATATTCTATTAAAATATAAGAAAGAATTGATAACTAAAAATAATAAAATACAATGACATATTGAAACATTACATGAACCTTTAAGAAGAAGAGTAAAGAAGTAGTTAATTGATATGAATGGGAAAGGTAAACATTAGATCTGTACAATAAATTTGATAGAAATATAACTAAAAATGTTAATAGAAATATGAATAGGAATGTTAATAGAATAGAGATAGAAATAGGAATGTTAATAGAAACAGCAAAAAATTATAATAAGAATTCGATATTCAATATTAATCACAGACCATATAACACATAACTTAATAAAATCAGGATAGTATGGATTGATTACCTTTCTAAATGATAATTATAACCAAGAAACAGATAAAATATTAACTATTATTATTGACATTAATAATAATCGTACATTTTTGACCAGAAATTTTTAAAAGATAATAATATTATTAAAATGACAATTAGAATGCAATATTTTACTACATTTGCCATTAGTATGCAGCTAGTTAGAGAAAGTATTGCAATCATGCTAAATTATGCTTCCAAGTTTTCAACAAAGTTCATGTTTGAAGATCTCCAGAAGGCCATCGATTTTAAAAATTTAAATAAACTAAGGGATTTTGATGGAACTTATTATAATAAAATACAATTAAATGGTTAGTGTATATATCAGTCAGATCTTTGGAATAGTCATTGTTAGGAGTTATTCAAAGTCAATAACTATAAATTACATAAGAACTTGATTTTAACTGAAGAGGAAAATTGAATAAATATTTCTACATGTTGAAAAAAACTTACTAGAAATAAGAGAAATAATATAAGTCTCTGATATACCATTGGAAAGCTAAAATTTATGAAAAATCTATCCAGTGGGGAAATAAACTCTTTCATAGAAACTAAATGGAGATTCCTCATAAAATATAAAAAATAAATGATATTTGAAAAATGGAAAAGTGATTTATGTGACATCGCAAGTATAAAAAATGAATCATTATTGATTAGAATTATGAAGGCAGCCATTTAAAATTCCAATCTTCTTTCAATAATTTGGTTTTATTTTACTGACACTGAAAAAACCATTTAGTTTATTGTTAGATACTATATTTGAAGGTTGAATATTTTTAGTAGTTCTAATGAAATAAAGTGTATCTTGATGATGATGTGGTTATATATCTGTTGGTAACACTAATTAGTTTGATAGTATTGCATAATTAATATGTTTATGATAAAAGTTCTCACCCAACTCATGGTCTGAAGCAGTTTTAACTGTCAGTCACTTAAAGATCTACTGGGGTCCCCACCATACATCAAGGACCTTAATATAGCTCAGTGATCAGTATAAAATTCTGATCATGAATCAGAAAATCAATTTGCAGAGCATAGGTCTCTGTGTCAATAGACTATCTTGATCAACTATTGCACAACAATCATCTGCTCTTAAAAAAAATAATGTTTTCTTACTATCATGTATTTGTTTAGAATATGCACTTTAAAATTATATCAAAAATGCACTCTGTAGCAATAGCCAGCGGCACATTAAATAAATTTGGTTCTGTGTGAATATGGAATTCTCAGAACATGTACAACTTGTGGATACTGATCTTGATGAGTTGATCATAATAGCCCTGGAGCCAGGACCCAAAAATCGACTCATGCAGGCAAAGGTTTGATTGTAAATTATGAAAGTGTATGATATTCTGAGTAAAAAGGACCTTGTCTGCCGTACCAGAGCCGCTGGTATCAAAAGTAGCGGCTGATTTAAAGAATATTAGTCTGGCGATTTGAGGATCGTAACGGGAAATCCGTTGCGAAAAGTTTTTATTTTTTTAACTTGTATATATGAATTCAGAGATGTAAAAAACAAAATTTATAACGCTGGGCAAAGAAAAGCTTTTTACAATTCACTCATAACTCCTAAACGATGCATCAAATCGAAAAATGTGTTTTTTTTAATAAATTATGAAACGTTAAATTTTGCGTCGAATGAGTACATAAACGTTATTGTTTGTTTACGTAGTAAGGTATAAAACCACGATCAACCAACGCTGATTTTTATCAAATTTGTCAAAAGTGAGATAAATTACTATTATTGGCTCTGTAACTTTGAAATGAGTTAGCTAAACCCACAGAACCGAAGTTGTAGAGCATCAAATTTTGCATTCAGCGATTACTGACACTTTTAATGTAGGTCATTTACTCCAAACGAAATCGGTAATCTCCTGATTGTTTGAAATTGGAAATGAAGGTAAATGTGATTTTAATATTTCAACAGTATGGTTATCAATTCTACTGAGTTATTTTTTGTTTAAAGTTTGTTACATGGAGTATTAGCCTGTTTTCAACCTCCCAGCAGCGTAGGATTTTGATAAAAGATGTGTCGAAAGATACCGAATTTCATAAAGGATAAACTAATCCCGATTCGAGATATATAATTGGACTACAATAAAAACGTCAGGACTCAGTGGAAGTAAAATTTGAAGCTCCACAAATTTGATTCAATGGGGTTTTCCTTTTAATTTGTCTCACTATTTCATAAATTTGGTAAAAATCAGCGTTGGTTGCCCGTGGTTTCATACTTTAGCACGTAACCAAATTATAAAGTTTATGTCCTTATTCGACGAATAATTTAACGTTCATTAATTTATTAAAGACTACATTTTTCGCTTTGATGCATCGTTCAGGATTTATGAGTGAAAAAACAAAAAAATATCGAAAACAATCTGACTTTTTTGGCTGTAAAAACTTTTACCGTGGTGGCCAGCGTTTGCAATTATGTTTTTACATGTCTAAGCCCATATATACAAATTAAAAAAATAAAAACATTTCTCACATTTTTCGCAATGGATTTCCCGTTCCAATTCTCAAATTAGCAGCCTAATATTCTTTAAATCAGCCGCCATTTTTGATACAAGCGGCTCTGGAACGGCAGTCAAGGTTCTTTATATTCAGAATAACATACACTTTCGTAATTTACAATCGAACCTTCGCCTGCAACGAGGTCGATTTTGGGGCTCTGGCTCCAGGGCTGTAAGCACTGTTATTTGTGGATTCAGGATTGAGTGAATAAATGAATCTTATAAGCCAGGAATAGGAAGTTCCTTAAATACTATAAAATATTTGAGTAATCTTCTGATAGAAAATAAACTAACTACTTACTGGACTAGGACTGTCCTGGGTACTTTTAAAATTAGAAACTATTGCAACGTAAGTCAATCCTTGATGAAGTACAAAAATGGTTCTGGTCTATACCTTACTACAAAAAGTCCTCTGCCGAAGTCATTTGAGTATTTTTTATTGTTCGTTTTTTATTATTGTGAGGAATATTTTTTCATTAAAAATTTCTTAGGTATTGCAATTCATTATCAGGTTATAAAAGATGGTGATTTAAGTGGTGATTTTTAGATTTTTTCACTTCAATTTTGAATTAGGTATATTATTAAGTTATGTGAGGAAGGTGTTTTAAAAGTTCGATTGCGGTTTTTAAAGTAGATTGCGCAATCTTGATTACTTATTATAATACTGATGTTTTTAGATTTCTTCTACATTATGTTCTGGAAGGAGCAGTTTTTGAAAACATTGTCAGGTTATAAGAAAGCGTTATCACTTATTTTTTTATATTAACTTTTTTTAATTATTAATTTTAATGTGATGTAATGTAATTTCTAAAAAAGCAATATTTTCTTATTAATGAAAACTGTACTTTATTTTTTTAATTTATTGTAATAAATTCAATGTAACAAGAAATTGAAGGTTTGTAATAATTTATTGTAGTTATTATTGCTGAAAACAAAGGTACTCTAAGGTGACAGAAAATCAAATCACGTCATTTTTTTTTTTTTGTGATTTGAGAAGAAAAAACCTCAATTTAATTGATATGCACTTAATTCTTACTAAAAAGTAAGTTTTTACAAGAGTGGAATATCTATTATCATATTGTAAAGAGATATAACAAACAACACTAATAATTCTAAACGAGAAAATGTAATAAAAAATATAACTTGATAAAGATAATTCAGTTTAGCCACTTAAAAGACCCCTTTAAATATTCTTGCTTTCTATTAAACAAAAAACGTGATTTATTTTAAAAAACACGAAACTTTATTCTGATTTTCTACGGAAAATTGGGCTAAGGTTTATATAAACTTTTTTGTAGCCCTTAGCGTATACTATCACCTCTTTAAATGTTTCCCTTAGCTTAAGATACATACTTACTGTATATCGACGGTATTAATTGAATATTAACCTTGCAAAAATATTAATTAGTGAAAATTAAAATATATCTTTTATACTTCTGTACATTTTATATAAATAAAATTCTATGTTACATTAATTTAAAATATGTATATATCATTTTTGGATTGTTTAACAGGTAGCTCAAGTTTGACCCATTTTCATAGTATTGATAAAGAACCATAGCAGTATGCCGATGAGGGCGGTGGATCTGAACTTAAAGATTTCCACCAAAAGGTCTCAGCCAACCGTCTCAAGACATTCAAGCTATCAGTAGAAAATGGATCAAACTTGGATGAAGTCTCAGTGAAAATTGAACATTAATTAATTAAAACATAAACATGTGACATTTTTAATTTCAATTACAGTGACTGTGTTAATTATTTGAAATTGCTCTTTTTAATTACAGTAATTTTAATTGAAGCTTTCAATAACAATTACCCTTGACACAAAGTTATTACAATTGCAATTACTTTTAATTCAATTATATTTTTTTAGTTTAATTTTTTCAATTATAAAATTGTAGTTAGTAATTGCGCACTTTGTGCCATCAATATTTTTGAGAGAGCACATTTTGACTGTGTTTTGAATTTTTGAGAGAGGCGCATTACAACGAGGTTATGAACATTCGGAGTGAAATATTTGGAATTACGGGAAAAGGAGCAGACCATAGCAAGTTTAATAGGTACTGGTTTATGATTTTTCTAATTCTACTCTCGCACGGACTTTTTTTAAGAAGAGGACAGCAATAAAACGTTTTGGAAGAGAAAACTCATGCACCGTCAACAATGGAGGGATGGGTACTCCTGATAATTGCGATTGGACTGGGTCATATAGTAGATGTAATTGATTTTAATTATAATTATCTGTAATTGTAATTACATTTGTTAAATTCCGAATCGTTTTATGGAAAATCTATAAATAATTTGTTATTTATTTATTATTTATTATTGGAATAAAAGTAAAATTACATTAATTATTATTTTTTCCGTATTCAAATAAAATTACACCATGGGCGCCCATCCCTCCAAGGTCGATGGCGCATACATCTTCCATCTTCTCCCACTCCTCTCAAGATATTTGATTGCCTTTCTCATCTCAAAAACAATGCAAACAGAAGTAGAATTTAAAAATTCGTAGATTATATACAATTACACATCCTGTTGTCAGTCCCATGTTTTCCACTCTTCTTTTGACTTGAAACTTTTCATTTCGATAATTCTCGAAAAAACTCCACCGAAATGTGCCCCCCCCTCTTCCCCGCAACAATTCCAAACCCTCCTCAAAACTTTTTGTGGTGCAACTAGCACCATGAAATTCCCTTACGGGAACCCCAACTTACACCATAATCATGTAACGATTTGTTTTGATATTTTCTTGAAGAACTTCACGTGAGCGACTGAAAACGTATTTTCTCTAATAAAAAAAAATATTTGTTAGTTTGACAATTAATGTTCGTAGTACAATCAGATTCATTTTCTTGACACATAACTAAAAAGTAAATTGTAATTATACTATTAATGTTTGTTAATTTAAGAACTTTGAAGAAATAATTAATAATTTTATTTCAATTAATACAAATATCACTAGACAATTATAATAAATAAAGCTATGTCTATCCTATATTTATGAAAGCACAAATCATATTCTTGTTATTCCAAAAGTAACCGTGAATATATTTATTAAATTAATAAATGAAATTCAATTAGTGAAAAAATAGATCATGACGTATGATTAACTCTAGTTTTAAGCATTAAAAAATCTCAAAACATAAAATTTAATTAATACGACAATGATGACTTGATAATATAAGTATATTAAATCAACCAACAATTTTTAAATTTTTTTAAAAATTAAAATAAAAGTCTAAAATTAAACAACATTAATATAGTCATAAACCATTTTGCTATCATAATTTATAGTTCTTTATTTAACTACAGAATAATACCTAACATTTATAAATTAGCTTAAAATTATCATTTAAGTAATAAAACTTCAGTCACACAGTTTCATTTCAACTTTGCCTATGAATGCTGGACCATAAAGTTAGCTTATTCCTGACTCATTGGCTTTCGGGTCTAAAGGATCAATGTATAAAAATGCAGTTTTCTTCTCTTTGTTTTGTTTCAAAGATGATAGGTTATCTTTGAAATCAAATTTACCATTAAAATCAATTTCTTGAGGAAATAATACATCTGATGATCCCGAGGTACTTGATTCTGAAAAAAACAACAACGTTAAAATAAATGCTAAAAACGCACATTAATTTCAATTGAAAAAATATTACATATCTTCTTATTTAATATCAACAATAAATATTATAATAATATCCAATCAGACGGAGAATGATTTTTCTGGGGCAGAGGTTGATAACCTTTTTCCTCTTATCTGACCTGGCCGTTGCAGATATTAGTGACCAGTTGCATAAATTCTTGACCATAACTGGCTACCCGACTGACCAATAATCACGAGTGATCAGAAGAGGTTTGCCAACCTAGGCAAGAATGTTTTAAAGTGTTTGGCCAAAAATTACTTATTTTATTTCCGATTAGTTTTAGTGTACATTATAAACTAAACCAGATATAACAAATGTAACCCTTATAATGGATGGCGGAATATATATATATATATATATATATATATATATATATATATTGTATTTCTGTATTGACAAATGGTTATATGCCAATTATTATATTAAATAATTTTATTTACCGAATATCCATGATCCTACACAACTTTGTGCATGGTTTTATATATTGGACCATTTTACGTACTTTATTGCTTAATATTATATTGCTTCTTGACTACAGACGGTGTGTAAAATTTGCATTATTGTAAGCAGGGGTGCAGATCCCCTCCAAGTTCGATGGTACAAGAAGCATGATCCTACCCTTCCCCCAAGATATTTTATTGTTCACCTTTTCTTAAAAACAGAGCAAGTCTAAGCTTATTCTACCTTAATAGAATTTGAAAAATCGTAGATCATATACAATTAAACTTGCTGGGGTATGTTACAGGTTTTTCCCTTTGTCTCTTATTTAAAATTTGCACACCTCAAAAATTCCAAAAGTCGTCAAAATATGCCACCTTCATAAATTTTGATGGCGCAACTTGCGCCATGAACTCTCCTTCTAGGCACCCCTGTGTCTGAAAGCATAACAACCTGTTGTAAATCGAATTTTTCGGGATGCTTCATGTACATTGCCATGTGATGGGCGTGACATGTACTGTCGTTAATTCGATTTGATGAAACCTTCTGCGGTTGTAAGTGTTAATATCGAGGAATTGGAACATCTTGGTATCAACATCATTTTATTCTATTAATAGACTAGACAGAGATGTGCCAATATAATTCCGTTTACTTCTTTTACTCATGCGTAAGTTTTTTCTTGACTTTACTATGCTTCAAAAAAAAAAAAAAAAATACAATCTCGCAGATTTTATCCCTAAACGGCAAATCATACACTTGAAATATTTAATTATGTTACCAATAGAGATGTGATGCAAGCTGTACTGACCATTCAAGCCAAACTTTTTACTTTCCTACCTATACTAGGTAAGGAAAGTATTGCAATCGGGTCAAATTTCCGACATGCGGTTTTCGACGGATCTATTCGTTTCAGAGCCTCCTGAGTCCTTTGAAAGGTAATGGAATTCCCTACAAAGGAATATAAAAATCGTTCATTTTGGACAATTATTAACGAAGTTACAGCTATTCAATCTCCAATGTAAGATTACGGTTTCATATCCTGGTGTCAAAAAGGGGTGAATGAGAGAATAAAGATGACTAAGTGAAAGTAAGAAAATCTGTTGCCCGCATCACACAACCTTCACTATTTTCTATACTTTCAACAGAAATTATTGTTTGTCAATACTAAGCTATGCCAAAAAGTTTTTGGTTTACAAATAAAATAGTTTATCTTACAAATAGTTTATCAAATGAAACGTACTCAAATCTTATGTTTGATCAATTTTCAGGAAAATATATCTAGTTCAATTCTTTTTTGTTTCTTCATGAACATATGTAAAGATATAAAAACTTTTTGAAATAGGTAGGAAAGTCGTGTGAGTGGACACTCCAGATTTTCTCCATTGTTATTATGTTTTATAATGTATTGTTTAATATTATAAATAACAAATTACCAATTGCTGAAGGGGATTCAGGAGCTGTGATGGAATATACGTAAGCAACTCCACTCCTGGGCTCTGCTTGCAACGTTCCCACTTCACTAAGCATCTTAGAATACCTTAAATAAACATATGATTTTGTTTAATTATTATCCTTTCTTACAAGATGTCCTATTTCAATAAGAATTAAAAAAAAAATATTTACACTACGTGAAGGCTGCCTTCTGGCGGTGGTCTTCCGTAACATATAGCGGCGGCTCCGATGAATAATATTATTACCTGCAATTAAACTGTGGTGAGAACACATGATTGTAATTAAAAATTTGGCTCTACGTCCCTAGATTGAGTCACTCAATATATATTCATATAAACTTACGTGAGGGAAGGAGGAGAGGTCGGGATGGTTAAGCGGACTTAGGCATTTGCAATAGGCAAAACAAGTTAAAACATCAAGCGTCGTAAGTACTTGAATGGATAACTGCCTGATTAGAGTGACCGTTCTTAGGGGAAAGCACCGCTACAAGAAATTTCCCTCTTAGGGATATGAGGAGTGATGGCCCTATCACGTTTACTTTAATAGCGAATTGCGATATATGTTTCTAGTCTATCAGTACCTTCCCTCCCTCCCTTCCAAGTAGCTCTAAGTTAAAGATGGCCAGCAATAGTCGATATTGACGAAATATCGATATTTTCCTTTCGATATATGATATTTTACCATCTAATTCGATATTATCGACTATCTATATCGTCTATTAGATATTTTAATATGAAAATAAAATTTGAAACTATAGTTTTCGGAATTTGATAGGAATTATATATGAATCGGATTGTTAGAAAAAATCATATTCATCTTGTATGTTTCATATAGAATTTAGTGCATAGTAGAGGAAAATAAAAATATTTCGATAGTATCGGCTATCGATGGTCACCTCTTCTTACGTACTGAGTAGTAGTAGCGCGTTTAGTTGAATAGCGCACATGGGACCCTTCTCACTCAGTACACTCGATTTACCCAAATTTGTTAGTTAAAACCTTCTCCAACTAACATTATGAATTGTCTAAGAATTTTTTTTTTTTTTACAATCTCTTCGTACAAGTCTTACAACTTAATCTTAGTCTTATAGCCCCTAATTAAAGCCGTAGTGAGAAGTAGGGCCGGGAAGAAATCTATTTAGGATGTAAATAAATTAGCATTTCGCTTAATCCTATCTATGGGTGAATGGAAGGCATAATTAGTTGAATGGCAATTACTGGAAAAAAAGCTGAGGATGACCAAGACGGACAAGAACTAGAAAATTAATTTTACTAAGGAGGGTAGAAAAATTTATATTTCTATTAATTAATTTGAAGAGGAAAATAACATATTTTTTGATGCGCCTATATGCTAGAGAATCAATTTTTATACAGATATCCATATTTCGAAAATGTTTATAATATCGATGAAAATATCGATATTTCAAATTCGATATTTTGATAGTATCGATAGTTATACAGCTATATTAATAACGATATTGACCCTTCGATATCCCACTCTTACTTAAAGTTCGAGAACCCCTGGCTTAGAGGATCAAACCGAAACTAAGACGAGGACATTGGATGAAGTAATACATATAACCAATCAATGTATCTTTAGTTTACATTATCGGGTTCGATCTTTGGTTTCATTCCTGTAAATATGATAACATTTTGTTTAAGTAATAATACACTAAACAATTGTAAGCTCTATCAATCATTAATGATAAATTAACAGATATAATTTTACTTATCTAGACCTCCATAAACCATATCGTCGGTATAATGTTAAAGTAACGAATGTGAAACGTTGGGCAGGTTAGCATTCATTACTTTAACATGGTGTTGAGTCAACAGTGTTGACGACGTTTACCTATTGATTTTAGTAGTGAAAACGTATTTAGTTTTTTTATTTTCCGCAAATGTACTGATTTAGAACAACATTTTTTTTTTTTTTTGTAAATGCATTTCATAATTTATTTCTCTTAACTGAAGATACGAGTAAGTAGTTTATTAAATTCATAGATCCAGGCTGAAACTCGATCTATTCACAGATCACTTGATATCACCTTTCGTTATGATATGCAGATACATTAGACTTTTATTTATTTATTTGGTAGTTCATACATAGTTAATATATTTTTCGAAGTAACAAAACTCCAGACCTTTCTCAATTTCCAATTCAATTTGGTGCTACCTTCACCATCGTAACGTTTTATCTTGGATATTGGAATCCAAGAATCATATATATATAAAAAAAAAAGAAAGAAAACATACTAATATTAAGTTATAATATACTGAGCATTGCATTTACATACAAAAAGCAGCTGCGTCGATAAAAGTATAAAAGAAAAATATACATACATTCATATACATACATAAAATACACACTATATATAAAGTAATTTTAAAAACCACGGAGGTAGCAATCCCTCCGCAATATAAGTCATAAAAAAGTAGTACTATAGTACATATCTAAATAAATAAAAAAAAAAATAAATAAAAAATAAATAAAAATAAATAACTAAAATAAAATAAATAAATAAAATAAGAAAAAAAATAATAAAAAAAAAGTAAATAAATAAACATAAAATTAAACGAATAAAAATGAAATAAATAAATAGATAAATAAAATAAAAAATAAAGATAAATAAAACAAAACGTAAAAATGTAAATTATGACATCGATATAATCATTGAGTATCATGCTATAAACGAGGAAGCAGCCTGAACCAATTACTGTAATTCATGTGGGACCCTTTAAGGACTCTTATTGTAATAGCGTTCATCGTTCTCTTGGGAATTCCCAACATATCCATGTCTTGGAAAGATCTTCGGCACCATATTCCTCTCCAAGTTATTGTGAGCGGCAGTACTTTTATGTCCACGCCTGGCACTCCCAGTGTACGCCCGATCGCCATCCTGCAATCTAGGTCCCTATATTTATTGGCTTTGACATTGTTCCAGTGAGTGGTGCTAGGGTTATCCCCGACGACCTGTGCATCTATAATGAAGTGTCCGCTTAGTCCTGAGCACACCAGGTCTGGCTTCCACCTTCGTCTATTACCAACAAACATTTGCTCCTTTGTGACCCTGTATCCTTTTTTTTGGAGAGCAATTTCCAACATGTTCACTATTGTATCATGCCGGCGCACTCTACCACCGTGAGACAAAATGCAATGTTGAATAATATGGCTGGCAGTTTCGCTTGCAGGACACCCAGCTCTGCATTGGGTCGGCATAAAAGCCCTACGTCCTCTGGATAATCTCACTCGGGTCGCGAGGGCATTTATATGAGTTCTTACCGTCTGTATGAAGGTCCGTCCGGTTATCGGAGCCGCGTAGTCTGTCAACCAATGAGTTGATGGGTGGCAGTTTTTTGACTCCCTTAATGCCTTACCATCAACGCTACGATATAACTTCATGGACAGCGTTTTCTTTCGTTCTTCACTGGAAGTGTTTTCCGCGTTGAGGCCCATTTTCGTGAGGTTGCTTGTGAGTTTTCTCATTTCCTTAGTGATAAAGGAGGAATGATAGGCGGCTCTTGCTACTGGGCAACCAGAGTACTCCATACGTCGTAACCTCGCGAGCTTGAGTGAGGGTATAGCACTGCTAAAGCTCATTACTCCCAAACCACCATCAGTACAAGCAGAATGGAAATACTGAGTAGGGGTATCCTGAGGCAGTCGCAGCCAGGAACGTACTGCCGCTCTCGTTGAGATATCCAACTTTCTCAACTCGTTCATTTTGCTTGGGCTCAGTGTGAGGAGATGAATGAATTTCGGGATGAGATAAGTTCTCAAAGTCACTAATTTTTGTTGGGGTTTTAGGGGTGCAGTGTTTGTTTTGTGCAGCAATAATGATAATTCATCGATAATCCCTTCGGCATTCATGTTGTTCAACGAAAATTTCGCTCCTAGGTATTTCCAGCAATCCAAGATACCCAACTGCTTGATTCTAGCGCCATTTACTACGAAATGATATCTGTTATCAACCTTCATAACATTAGAATTGACGGCCTTGACGAGAGAAAAGCTAAAGCATTTGGCTGGGTTGGATTCCATTCCCAGATCTTGAATAGCTGCAGCTGCGTCCGATAGTAATCTTTTCATGCCTTTCGATGAGGATGTGATTAAGACTAGGTCGTCTGCAAATGCCAGGCAGTTTACCATTGTTCCTCCCATATCGTAGCCTATTCCATCTGGAAGGGAATGGATTACCCAATCCATTGCCATGTTAAAGAGACTAGGGGATAATGGGTCACCCTGCCTTATACCTCTTCCGCATACAATAGGATCCGTATGCTGCTTTTTGTCTGTAATGCGGGTATAACATTTGCTATATAGCCCCTTCATGTAACCAATAAGTCCAGCTGGCATACCCTTCCATTCTAAGATTCTATAAAGTGCATTATGGCTCAGATTATCAAAAGCTTTGGCAATATCCATAAACGTTACATGGATTTCCTTCTTTCTCATTTTAGAGTCGTCTATTATTGACTGTAATGAGAATATATTTTCTGCAGTGCCATCGGAAGCAATAAACGCTCGCTGGTTTACATGATGCAAATCCATTTCGTTTAGACGAGTTGCAATTATCTTGTGCATTTGTCTAAGAGGGACTGAAGCAACTGTGATGGGTCTATATTCACAAGGACCAGCGGGATCATCCGTTTTCGGAATGAATATAGTCCGGGCCGCAGTTAACTTTGGTAAGTGGGGTGGGTTGGACAGATATATATTATAAAATATGGCCCTATGTAAGGGGGCAACAGATTCCCACTGCTTTACAGTGATACCATCGGGTCCCGCTGATGATTTTTTGTCCATAGCGTTTAATTTGACTTCATCAACTGTAACTGGCAGCCATAATGTAAACAACTTCTGATGCGGAATTGGCGTATCCGGCACATTGGGACATGATGCTCTCTCCATCAGCGGCCTCCAGAAAGATTCGAGTTGCTCAATATTGTGCTTGTTACGGGCTGTGGTACCGTTGAACACTTCGCAAACCGCTTTCTTCCTATCTCTTGTCCATAATTTTTGAATCTTCTTGAACTGCTCCCTTCTTCTGACAGTAGAATTAGCGGGCAATGATCTTTCACCAGATTCATTTGAAATGTTGCTTTTCACATTCACCACTGAATCGAGCCATGCGTTAAGAGATTCCGAAATGTCTTCCTCCTCCTCTGCAATCTCCAAAAGTGAAGCCAATACTGAATTAGGATCAGTTATCTCCTGGCATAAGTTTCTGGCTGCTTTCAGAAATTCCTGCTTATCCGTGGTGCCATTATTTATGGCAACAGCTGGGTTAGGATCTGCGGCTTCATCGTTACGTCCTTCCATGACTCTCTGAAGGAGATCCTGGTATTGTTCTTTTGTTCTAGCCTTTCGTATACTCCATATAGACCTACCGGGTTGCATATCGACAAGGTCCCGAATCCTTACATTTCCTCCTTGAGCGATCAGTGATGCTTCATTCAGAGCTAGTAATTGAAGCTCCTCTCTAGTCCAACGCTCCTTCTTCCGATCCGTGTTAATATTATCATTGAAGAAGACGGGGTGAGCACGCTTGATGTGAAGACCCATACCCGAACGAGTGCCAAAATTCCTGTCGCAGCGGGGACATTGATTAACGTTGTCGTCCATAGTCAGTGAGATTCATGAACCATTTAATTGCCTCACTCCGACTTGGGCATCGAAAAAACGACGATCTATGTTTCAGCTGACAATTCGCGCATTTTGGTGGCTGGTCTAAACTTGGACAATTCCCTACTTTATGTCCATGAGCACCACAGTGACAGCACCGTTCCTCGTGCTTACACTTAGACTGCACATGCCCAAATCTTTGACAACGAAAGCACCTTGTCACATCTTTAAAGTCCTCAACTTTACAAATATCTAAATTTAAGTATAAGTGTCCTCTGGATACGAGCATATTTCTTAAGCGTGGGCTGACTTCCAGGACCATGTTGACTCTCGGTTCCGATCTTCTACCAGTGTAAAATGCAAGCTTGCACTCTTCAGGGTGGCCTAGTTCAATTTCTTCATTTTGAGCCAAGATACATTCGATCAGTTCTACGATTGTAAATTCTGCGTCTTCTACTTTCCTGGGTACGCCTTTTATAATTACGCGTGGATTCCTTAGCTTAATTGTTTCGGATACCTTGCCGAGTTTCGATATATCTGGGTCTTTAAGTAAAGCTTTCTTATCGGAATCTCTCCCCGCTATAACTACTAAGCCTGTTTGTTTGGTATTGAAAATTTTATCAATTTGTAGACATTTGCTCTTAGGCCGAAGAGCTAGCTTTATTTGGGATTTAAATTCCTCCACGTCTTTAAATTTTCCATTAGGATCAGGAGTAATAGAAATAGCATTGGACATCCGGAAATCGTTTATTAGTGGTATTTTACAGGAGGCATAATTGTTCGTATTATTGCTATCGTTATTTCCAATGAGTCCATCAATTGACTCGTTTGGGCTGTTACTAATTTCATTCTTACTTATTGCGTTTTCATTACCTAATATTTTTTTAGTATTTCTGTAAATTTTATTATTTGTTTTAATAACATCTGATAAATTTTCTTCTAATCTTATTAAACTTTCAGCATTTAAGGAGTCATTTTCTGAAACACATTTGATTTGATTTTTAAGCCCTTCCAACTCACCCATTTTTAAGGTACATGCTAAGCTTAAGTGGGAAACTATTAAAGACAAGGCATCCAGACACGCTGTGATTTCCTTTACCGCCCCAGGTTTAATACTGTTAGTTTTCTTTTTCAAAACTCCTCTAATCTTCCTCTCATTTTCCGCGCCCATAGTTAAAAGCTTGACTGGGTCCAGGTCAGCTTTTTCAATATCAGTGAGTTTATTCGATAATAAAGATTGATTCTCATACACATCTTTAATCGTTCCAGCGTAGTCCAAATGTAGCTTAATAGGAGAGTGAGTGTCCGGTTGTTTAATTATATCTGACGAACCATGATCCATCACAATAGGATCACTTAATTCATTTCCATTTTCCAAGCTTTCTTCAGTGGGTAGCAGTACTTCATTGGGTTCGATCGTGTGAAGCCGTATCTTTTTGGAATTGTTACTAATTCGACCTTTCTTCGCTTCCATATTTCACTTATGAAAGAACAATAATTTAATGATAAATAGATAGACAAACACAAAAAAAAAAAAATAAATAAATAAAAAAAATAAAAAAAAGAAATATATAAATACAATAAAATAAAATAAAATAATAAAAAGACAATAATTAAATAAATAACAATTAACTATATAGTTAATTCGAAATGTAAAAATAATAATAATTCTAGATCACTCAATAGATTTAAAACCAACAATAATACATTTTTTAACTATACACGACGAGATAAAAATATATAACCATATGCGATAAAACAATATAACCAGTAGTTAAAGAAACATAAATGTAATAATAGTTCTAAGTTTAATTATTAACAATAACAAACAAGACTTATTTCGCACTATGTGTTTGTCGAGATAAATTCTACAAATGTCAAGTAAAAAGTAATATTTACTAGCTGAAACAATAGACTAAAGAATAAATAGAGGTTAAAACAATGCTTTAAATAGATTTAATCTATTCTAAGTTGTCCTGCGTGGTTAAAAAGATAAAAAAAAAAATATGACGACGTTTGTTAAAAAGTGTAATTTTAACAAATAGACAATTACCAAGATTATTAACGAAGGTAGCACCGATCCGTAAAAATAGAATACAAAAATATTAAAAAGCGCGTAATACAACAGTGTTTAATAGAATTCTATTTAATTTTACTATTGTATATTTAAATATTCTACCAAAGATATGATATATTAATAGTCCAGCCGGTCCGGCCGTCACAACAAAGGATGAGACTATGTTTGCTTAATATACCAGAATGTAGACTGTTTACCAGGGGGTCGTCGTAATCCTGCAGCTTTGCAAACCAGCAGTTGGTATTAGCAATTGTTTACCATCAGAGTTCTTGTCAATGGGAATCCCCTCCACGGCATCAGCTCTGGTGGCTCCTCCAGTGGCTGCCTTCTCGTCTAAGTTAAGATTTCAAATAACTTCGAAGTCAATCGTCCGAATTTGACGAAATTTTAGAAACTGATACTTCAATATACTAACTAGATATTTTAGTAATTTAAAACTCAATGAAACTTGGAAGTTAAGAATAAAACTAATTGAAGTACAGACACGATCTGTTCACTAAGACCGAACAGGCTAGACTGAGTGTATAGTAGAGGAAAATATAAATATTTCGATAGTATCGGCTATCGATGGTCACCTCTTCTTACGTACTGAGTAGTAGTAGCGCGTTTAGTTGAATAGCGCACATGGGACCCTTCTCACTCAGTACACTCGATTTACCCAAATTTGTTAGTTAAAACCTTCTCCAACTAACATAATGAATTGTCTAAGAATTTTTTTTTTTTTTCCTTTTTTTACAACCTCTTCGTACAAGTCTTACAACTTAATCTTAGTCTTATAGCCCCTAATTAAAGCCGTAGTGAGAAGTAGGGCCGGGAATAAATCTATTTAGGATGTAAATAAATTAGCATTTCGCTGAATCCGATCTATGGGTGAATGGAAGGCATAATTAGTTGAATGGTAATTACTGGAAAAAAGCTGAGGGTGACCAAGACGGACAGGAACTAGAAAATTAATTTCACTAAGGAGGGAAGAAAAATTTCTATTTCTATTAATTAATTTGAAAAGGAAAATAACATATTCTTTGATGCGCCTATATGCTAGAGAATCAATTTTTATACAAATATCCATATTTCAAAAATGTTTATAATATCGATGAAAATATCGATATTTCAAATTCGATATTTTGATGGTATCGATAGTTATACAGCTATATTAATATCGATATTGGGCCCTCAATATCCCACCCCTACTCAAAGTTCGAGAACCCCTGGCTTAGAGGATTTAACCGAAATTAAGACGAGGACATTGGATTAAGTAATACATATAACCAATCAATGTATCAATGTACATTATCAGATTCGATCTTTGGTTTCATTCCTCTAAATATGATTATTTTTTCTTTAAATAATGTTACACTCAACAATTGTAAGCCCTATCACCTAATCATTAGTGATAAATTAACAGATATAATTTTACTTGTCTAGACCTCCATAAACCATATCGTCGGTATAATGTTAAAGTAACGAATGTGAAACGTTGGGCAGGTTAGCATTCATTACTCTAACATGGTGTTGAGTCAACAGTGTTGACGACGTTTACCCATTGATTTTAGTAGTGAAAACGTATTTAGTTTTTTTATTATCCGCAAATGTACTGATTTAGAACAACACAGAATAACATTTTTTTTTTTTTTTTTGTAAATGCATTTCATAATTTATTTCTCTTAACTGAAGATACGAGTAAGTAGTTTATTAAATTCATAGATCCAGGCTCAAACTCGATCTATTCGCAGATCACTTGATATCACCTTTCGTTATGATATGCAGATACATTACATTAAGATATGCATTACACCGAGTTAAACAGCACCGCGTTACCCGGCTACCTTATTGAAAGATTAATTTGATAAAATAATTACGACTTCGCATCCCTGTGCAGTGGAGAGGAACATTTAATTCTGGTATTATTCCCTCGCCCTCATCCCCTGGCCCGGGAAAACTCCGTATAGTATAAAAGATGAGTAAGAGTAGGACAAAAAAAGGAGTAAAATAAATTTAAAAAACTAAAAAGTAAATTAAATGATAGATGGTGTTATTTTTATACTGTGTGTTACTTGAACGACCCAACGTAAAAAAAAAGATATAGGTATTTAAACATTTTTTTTTTTAATTTTTCGAGAAAAAAGTTGTTATAAAAACACATTAAAATTAATGAGTTGGTAATTTAGTGCTGCATAGAAACACGGACTTGATAAGTATCAACGCTTTTTAATCAGATTTGCATTTCGAAAGAATTGTCTAATTTTATATGAACGTAAATTTTATTGCACACGTATCGAGTCAATATTTAATGCAAGAATCGAACAAAATAAAGTAACATTTACATACACCTTACCTTGATCATGACTGCACTAGGAGAAGCTGAACGGACGACTGACCGATCAAACCTGTCCCAACATCTAACGGGCCTATCCTCTGAATATTTATCCTGCCTCTTACATTTAATAGCAGCCCCTGGACCCGGGTTAACCCCTCCAATCTCCTTCCTTAAGATGACCGCATCGCTCAATATCCTTAAAAGAACAACTACTTCTATAAGAATAAGGGCTAATTTTTCCGAAAAACGTTTTGAGTGCAACCCATTAGTATGAACCCCATCTGTATCAAATTAACACCAAGTATATAAAATTTATATACCTTGAAAATATTATTTTACAAGGACTTTTAGTTACAAACTAGAATATTTCTTGTCTACAATACCTAAACAGATCTTTTAACAAAAAAATAAATAATAATAATTTCTCGCATCTTTTTTTTTTCAAGTGTAATCATCAAATTATGTATTGAATTATAAGCAAAAACATTATAAGTTTTGGAACATGAATCCTAAAATGGTCAATAAATTTTTCAATTGAAGTAGGAAAACTGGCGTATTATCCAGTAAAAAAGTTGATATAATATAAAATATCGTTTAAAATGAAAATGGAAGTGTTAATAAATATGTATAATTTTTATAGCATTATCCACAATAATGTTATAGTAGAAAATCGTGTTAAAATTGGATCTGATTATTATATGATTATTATTATTATTATTATAATTAATGATTATTATTATTATATGATATCTGATTATATGATTATTAACCCAATCCAGTACACGAACTATTAAACAAAAATGTTCCTAGCACCTAAAACGTTTTACTAGAAATATTATCTTAGTCTTTAATTACTAACAAAACTTAATTAGTCTGTTAATATCATCCATACAGAACTGATACTGCCAATGGGCCAAGAAAGTAATTACAGTAATGGTTGCACTAGTATAATATATTTAAAGTAATTTCTATTTAAATTATTTTATTTTATTTTAATTATAGTCTGTAATTTTTATGATTGCTTTAATGTAAAATTAATTATTTTATTGAAGGATAAAAATAGTGCAAAATAAAATCTGATTTTAAGTGGATTACAACAGATCCATTGTAAATATATTTAGGTAATTTTCGGAATTTTTTAAAATAATCTTTATGGTTACTTTTTTTTTTAAAATTAAAATCCCCTGATTAATATTACAAAACTAATATAAAATTACTAATCCACTCTAGAATGTGATGCTATTAATATGTCACTCAAGAAAAGTATTAAGAATAAAAGTCAAAATTTGTCAATTTTAAGTATTGGTACATTTATACCTTTTTTATTTCATTAATTATGGATACTATCTGTGCCATGGACATCTATAGAAGGGATGGACCGATTTTTTAAAATAGAATTTCTACCCTCAATGATTCTATGCTTGGGTAGCTTTTACGCAATAGCCATACAATTTGTTTTTCAATAGACCGTAGAGCCATAACAGCTCAAAAAAAAGTTGATGAAATTTACTTTAATCCTTCTCCTTGAAGATCTGGATAATGTTTGAATTTATTATTTATAAAATATAGTTGGATTCAGAAGAGGAAGGAGCACGCTAATCACACCTTCATCCTAAAACAAATACTCAAAAAACGATGGGAAGTAGCTAGGTTTGAATGTAAATTACGAAAGTGTATGTTATTTTACGAGTAAGTAAAACGAATCTTGTCTGTCGTTCCAGAGCCGCTGCTTCCAAAAATGGTGGACGATTTAAAGAATACTTGGCTAGTAACATGAATATGGAAACAGGAAATATATTGGGAAAATGTAGAAAAAGTTATTTTTTTTTTTAAACTAGTATACTTATATGGCTTCAAACATATAAAAAACAAAATTGTTAAGGCTGGTCACGAAGGGAAAACTTTTTAAAGCCATAAAAAAGCCAAATGTTTTCGTTATTAGGAAATTAAAGAATGTCAAATTGTGCGTCGGACGGGTATATAAACTTAATAATTTGGTTAAATTGTATGATAGAAAAACACGGCCAACGAATGCTGATTTTTATCAAATTAGTCAAAAGCCTAAACAAATTACTATAAATGGGCCCTCCAGCCAGAGATGATAAAATGCTACTCTGAATACTGAGTACCGGGTATTTCACTCCATTAGTGATTTTTTTTGAGTACCAAAGAATTTAATTACTACTTCAGTTGATGTCAAACGATTAACTGAAGTAGTGATTGAATTCCTGATAGTGATTCAGTTTGAGTAAATACTTAGAACTCGGTGCTCAGAGTAGCATTTGCCCATCTCTGCCTTGGAAATGACTGCCCTAAGAGAAAAAACTCAAAGAATAAAAGTTGCAGTGCATCAAATTCCTTGTCCACCAAGTATGTCCAGTTTTAATGTAGGTCACTTACTCTACCCAAAATCGAAAAACTCTTAATGAATGGAAATTGGCAATAAAGGTATGTGTGATTTTCAATATTTTAACAATATGTGTGACTGTTCTATTGAATTATTCATTTTTAGATTCTGCTGCAGGCATTAAAGACCGCTCTTTCACTTGTTATCAGCGAAGGATTTTGAGAAACGATGTGTCATAACAAACCGAAGTTTATAAAGAAATAACGAATCCTAATTCAAGGCATGTACTTAATTGCCTACATTAAAAATGTTAGTACTCAGTGGACCCAGAATTTGATGCTCTATAACTTTGATTCTATGAGTTTTCTCTCTAACTCATTTCAAAGCTGCAGGGCCATTTATAGTAATTTGTCTCATTTTTTGACAAATTTGGTAAAAATCAGCTTTTGTTGAACGTGGTTTTCAACCAGACCATTTAACCAAATTAATAAGTTTAGGTACTCATTCGACGCACAATTTAATGTTATTTACTTTCTAAAAGAGTACGTTTTCCGCTTCGATGATCGTTAAGGAGTTACATAACTACTTCATCTATATAGGTGAATATATATATATATTTTTAAAAGCAATGGTTTTGGTATGGCAGACAAGGTTGATTTTACTTAGAACAACATACACTTTCGCAACTTACATTCAAAAATTATCCTGCAATGAGGTCACTTTATGACTTTTTGGGTACTAACACCGGGCTTCCCAAAATGTCCACGCTTTATTTGTTGATTTTAAAGCAGCCTATGACTGCTTGGACAGGAACTGAATTTGGTGTTCTGGGGCAGGAGTATCCACCCTCTTCCACTCCCTCCCCCCCAAGGTTCATGGTGCCGGGACCTCCTCTTCTCTTGAGATATTTTATTACTCTTCTCTTCTTAAAAACAGTGCAAGCCTAAGTAAATTTCAAAAAATCGTAGATCATATAGACACATATGTACACTTCCTGTGGTTTGTTACGTGTTTCTTCCCTGTCCTCTGGTTTGCAACTTTTCATACCAAAAGGTGCCCATTCAAAAGTTCAAAACTCCATAAAAATGTGCTCGCCTAAAAAAATTGATGGCGCATCTTGCGTCATGAAACCCCTTCTGGGCATCCCTATTACCCGGAAATAGGTAAGATTGGTGAAGTTCTGTACAAATGATCATATATGTCCAGTCCTAATACAAGGAGAAGTATCTGAAGCCTTCAAAGTTCGAACTGTCTTGTGCAAGGGAAACGCCTTCTCACCCATGTTGCTCAACTTGGTGCTGTAGAATGTGATAAGAACAACATTAACTGAAAATGGAGTGGTGCAAGTTGGAATTAATCATTAAATCCTTGTATATGCAGATGATGGAGCAGCCATTGGAAGCAGTCAAGAGGAGATTGAAAAAACTCCCTAAGAATCTCATAAAAGAAGCAGAACGATTCAGCCTACAACTAAATAAAAATAAAACAAAAATATGATATTAAGCTGAAAATCCCACCCTATGAACGATTCATCTGGAAGCCTCTACACAACAATGAATGCCTCAATAGAAGGCAAAACACTACTTGGAAGACCAAAAACCAGATGGATAGATAGAATCAACAAAGTTGCCATACAGCGCACACAGATAACTGGAAAGAAACAGTCCAAGATAGGCAGAGATGTAGAAGGCGTATTAAGGCAGAAAAAGATCAAGAAGGTCTGTAATGACAACAGAATAAAAAATGGAAGCAGTTACAATGAAAATAAAATTTTATTTGTTGATAATAAACCATTTTATAGAAATCAGTTTTTCTGTATTCTTGTTCTGTTTTATCTAGTTTATTATGCTCAAAGAAATTGACTGAAATATATTTTTAACCCTCTACATGTAAATATAATATTTGTTAGGTGATTAAATATGAGACAGACATTAACCATTCACCAACATTCACTAATGCAATGGATTTGTTAGGTATAATTATATATAAAATTTATTGTTTTAGGTCAAAGATATGAAGGATTAGAGCTGTTAATTTTCAATACATCAATGTTTTCCTCTATATTAAACACAAAGTTATATAATGTGAGAGGATTTGTTAGAGTGATGAAAGCAAAGAATTAAAAATACACTCTTGTATTGACAAATTGGATTGAACAGGAACATACTTCAACTTACAGATTCACATACACATCTGGATTCTTTTTTTAATTGAAGATAAATTTTTATTGGAAAATATTAATACAATATATCACAATCAAGGACATTGGTGTTATAGCTCCACTAGTGCATTTATATACAAACTAAAATACAAATTGAAATAATAAAATAATATAAGAAGAAAAATATGTAAATAAAAAATTTAATAACTAGATTATAATATTAAGACGACAAATATAAAGTGAAAGAATAATTTGTTTGCTACTCCCTTTTCTTCCACTGTTCCTTGCTAGATTCCTGATCTGATAGAGATCTTTCCGTCTTCCTTTGCAAAATCATACCTATGTATTCCAAATATGACATTCTTGGGCTTCCTCGAGGCCTTATGCCATCCAGAATGTAGTCCATTGTCTTTAATGGGCTCCTATGTTTCTCCATCCTAACCACATAGCTGAATCATCTCAATTGGCAGGTTTGCAGAACTTCCTTCAATCAATTCAATATTTAAAAAGAAAAAAAACTCATTAAAAGAAAAATGAAAAGACAGAAAAAAAAACTTTTCACACATTCATACCTAAACAACTGAATTAAGGATGTTACAAGTCAAGATAATTATACTTCAATTTGACATTCTCTTGACAGTAAGGTTCTGAAACAATCACTATTACTATATTCCGTCATCAAAACTGTGTCTCGAACAGAAGTTTCATAGAATATAGTTTATATAATATTGTTAATATCCTATAGATTCTTCTTTTTATAGTATTTCTAGAATTAATTAACAATTGTATCTCATTCTTCATCATTAGATTTACTTGTTTTGTAATTAACTTGAAATCAAAATGTTTATAAATTTTTCAATACTTAAACTTTATATAATATAATGGTACAAAGCTTTATTTTAATTTCTTATAACTACAAATTCAATGCCATATTGACATAAAATAGTTAGAATGCAGTGCCATTTAAGGCTAGACAATCCAGGCACATGCCATTGGTGTCTACCTGGAGGGATGCTTGCCACTTGTTGGGTAATATAAAAGCATGCATTACAACTAAGTTTAGCCTTTTAATAAAGCAATTGAATCAGATATGTATTAAATTAAAAACAATATAAATATAAACTAATGTAATAATAAACTAATATAGCTTAAGAAATAAAATTATTCCGTGTCTCGAACAGAAGTTTCATAGAATATAGTTTATATAATATTGTTAATATCCTATAGATTCTTCTTTTTATAGTATTTCTAGAATTAATTAACAATTGTATCTCATTCTTCATCATTAGATTTACTTGTTTTGTAATTAACTTGAAATCAAAATGTTTATAAATTTTTCAATACTTAAACTTTATATAATATAATGGTACAAAGCTTTATTTTAATTTCTTATAACTACAAATTCAATGCCATATTGACATAAAATAGTTAGAATGCAGGGCCATTTAAGGCTAGACAATCCAGGCACATGCCATTGGTGTCTACCTGGAGGGATGCTTGCCACTTGTTGGGTAATATAAAAGCATGCATTACAACTAAGTTTAGCCTTTTAATAAAGCAACTGAATCAGATATGTATTAAATTAAAAACAATATAAATATAAACTAATGTAATAATAAACTAATATAGATTAAGAAATAAAATTAAGGAAGGGTTCATGATATCATTGTCAAGGACAATACAAACGTAAAAGACTGGCATTGATAGTATGTTAAATTGGAATCATAAAATCTATTTCAAATAGTTTAAAAGTATAAAAAATAATTATAATATTTTATAAGAAGTTTGAACTTTATTTTAGAATAATTAAATGTTCCTCTCTCTCTTTTTTTTAATTATTTTATTTTTTCAATCAATTTCAGATCAATATTTAGATTGTAATCAAATATATTATGTTGGTTAGTAGATATTCCAAACTCATGTGAATGTTATAAAATTCAGCATTATTAAATATATACTAAACAGCAAAAAAACTGCTACACCTAGTATTTTATTGTTTCTCCTCTCTGGTGTAAAGAATTTAATTTGTTTGTTATGTTATAAATAAAAATATTATGTAAAACATATTATAACATACAGCTGGAAACACAATTAAAAATAATTTTGTTTACAAAACTTAAAAGTCGTAGAAAATAATAATATTTTCTTCTAAATTTTTTCTACTAATCTGAAACCACGGGTAATAAAAAAGTAAAGTTTACTGACTAGAAACGGAATGGAAATGGCTTCATTTCTCAGCACATATTACTGGAATCTCTTCAAGTGGTAGTATGGAAATCCTATTGTAGTCTCTGTAAACAGAAAACATTAAAACTATGAGATCACTGAGAAGTTGAGGAATCCCTTTATATGTGGATTTCACAGCAAAGATTTTTTTTTGGATTTTATGTCCAATTTCTGGGGATATATTATCTGAAAAGGCAAAGTTTTTCGTTTATAATTTTTTAAGAATTATGACAAAGCAGATTTTAATATGGCAAAGGTTGGCTTTATATTTTCCAAAACAGGTATGGAATACGTTCTTTATTTTAATGGAAATTTTCTTTACATCCATTTAATTTTTATTATAGATTTGTAATAGAAAGTCTATAAAGGCATATAATACTTGTGTGAAGTAGGCGAATATATGGAACTCCTATTACCAATCTCTTGTACTTTAGAAGATTTTCCAAGATTAGACATTATCTTCAGCAATAAAATCGGAGTTGAGTTGAGTTGAAATGACACTTCTTCTTTAGCATTAATGTATTCACTGACCATAAAATTACCTCCTCCATATTTGATGGTAGTCTTTTTTTTATCACAAGTTTTTCATTTTGATCACATTATTATTATTTTTTTTTTTTTTTTTTTACCACACTTTTTGTCAACCCTCAGAACCACTTAGTTTTGAATTATTTACAGTGAAAGAAACCAGCTTCAACAAATTCCCTTTTGCAAAAACCAATCTGTGCTATTTGTTTAACTTACAAATAATTTTATTGTAGAGAATCGGCCATCACAATTAAATTTGTGCAATTTATTTTAAATTGTCCCTAGTTTTAAAATAAGTTTTAAATTATTTTTACCTTGATTTTTGTTGATTAATGATAAAAGTCTTCTGAATTTTCCAATCGAAAAAGGAATTGAGTTTTGATGGCCTTCCAGTATGGGCGCTAGTTTACGTACATCCCAATTATCTAAATATTTTAATTATATAATATATTTTAGAAATCTTTTTACTAACAGTTTTTCCAACTTCTCAAATACTTTTTCATTTTTTTGCAAACTCGCTATTATTTTCTGATTTACTTTTGATACTTTTTGTAATAAATTTTTATAAAACTAGTTCATTATAAGCTAAAGATAGTTTTCAAAGATTTGACTGAGCTATATAGTTTACTTAACCAGGATTTTATCTTTTAATTACTACAATTTGGATTGTTAATCTATTCATTTTATTTATTCAAGTGTTCACAAATTTTTATGGACATTTTATGAACAAAGGTGACAAAATAATTCTATGAACTATTTATTACAAGAAAATTATAAGTTTATTTTTTTTTACTATAAAAATCTGATTTATTTAAAAGACGGTTGATTTTGTGATGGTGATAAAATTAATACAATCAATTGCAGTCACGATGATTGGAGATATTTTTGGTCAAGGATATATGAATAATGATTATTGTAAGAACTCTGTTTTAAAATAAAAATTGTGTTTAAATTTGGAATACACACACACACACACACACACATATATATATATATATATATATATATATATATATATATATATATATATATCTTTGGTTTATTTCAAAAAACTTACTAAGTATACTTTGTGTATACACTTTTGATGGAGGTAAACTTGTAGATATGATTTTGTGAATTTCAACCATATTTATCCATCTAAGAACATAGAAGTGCATCAAAATAACACTAACTCTTTTATATACTTAAAACCCTTTTAATAAAAGTGCTTGAAATTTGAATTCTCATTCATAATTCTCATAAAAGAGGTGAAATTCAACAAAATAGTTAATTCTTTAATTTTATGAAATAATGCTTAATAACGTTCTAGTTGGAAAAGTTATATTTATACAGACATTAAGTAAGTAGATCCCAGAGCAGGTGATTCCAGTGTTGAAATACAGAACTGTGAATAAAGGTATAAATTTTCCAACTAGAAACATCACTAAAATTAATAATAAAGAATGTTGAAATTGGAGTTAGTCATTTTGTTAACTGAAAGGCTCATATATGCCTAGAGAGATTTAAAAGTAAATCTGAATATCTAATCTATAAAAGATCATGGATTGTTGGACTATTTGTTTGTAAACTGTTATTTTTCAATTTAAATTTTACTAACATCGTAAACCTATGACTTTCTGTTCTACTGTTTCCTTTAACAATATTCCACTTATCTCTGTTCAACAAATCCACTACCTAGGACTCCACCTCGACAAACGTCTAGCTTGGAATCCTTATACCAGACTGAAACGACAAGAAACCACTCGACATTTCTGATTAGTTCAGCACTTACTAGACAAACGCTCTAAGCCTCCAATTAATTACAAAAGACTCATATACATGACTATAATAAGGCCTATTTGGACTTACAGAGTTGAGGTATGGGACTCAATTAAACCATCGAATTCCTCTCCGTATCTTATCCTTACAATCCAAAATTCTTTGTAAAATCCTCATTGCTCCCTATTTCGGTAGAAATAAAACCATCCATAATGACCTTAATGTTTCATATATTTCAGATTTGGCCCAATCCAGATACCTATCCTTCCATAATAAACTTCAGAATCATCCCAACCTTCTCATTTCTAACTTTGCTTCCCCTTCAATTCCTGATAACACTCCGAGGCGTCTGAAAAGAAGATGGCTCCGTGATCTCCTAATGTAGACATATCATTAAAGTGCTACCATTGGGTAGTTTCTCAACAAGTTTTCCATATGTTTAAATTTACTAAATGTATTTCTTTAATATAGTTGTAAATATCATTAAGAAATAAAAAAAATAAAAAAGTTTACTAAAATGAAATTATGAGATTTTTATTGCCTCTGATTAAAAGTTGTCACACAAATTGTAAGTGTATTTTTACATATTGATGGTAGACAATAAAAATTATTCACCATATTTTTATAAACCACATAACTTCAGTCTCTCATAGCTGACACCGTATCATGTATTATTATCATGATACTTAAAAAAAAAAAAAAAAACATCGCATCTATAAAATATTTTTATATTTCACTTCTTCTTTCTCACAAGTACAATGAAATAGTGTTTTAAACAATGTCATTGCCTTGATTTGATGGATTTTAAATACTTCTTTCAAACTTAAAAAAAAAATTTAAAGTGAGAAAATTTCATTTAATTTCCTTGGAAACATGTAATTTACCTTAAACAATGTTAGTTTTCAGAAATTATTATTTATATTT